GAAAATCCATCTTTTGAGGTAGCTGATTTTAATTAAAGAATACTCTCTCTCCCTCTCTCTCTCTCTCTCTCTCTGGATTATACTTTAATTTCAGTTTCTATCACAACATTAGATACTTCTTAGATAAAATGTATTTTTGTCTCTTTTCATCAGTGATTATCTGTAGTTCTTAAACACTTGGGGTCAGCAGCTGGTCCCCAGATGATGTAGTTCAGGAATAATTCTATTCAAAGGAATTAATTCAGAGCAAAATTGGTTTTAAGTTCAAAATCAGGCAAAATGTTCATAACATTTTGCCCTGATTATGTACGTGAGAGTGAAACTCTCAGAAATATCAGTAACAGCAATCGTGGTAATAAACAATAATCTCTGAAGTGTATAACACCCTCCACCTGAGCATTTTAGACATGAACGCTTTAAGCTACTGTCATATGAAGAAATGTCATTATCCTAATTTTACACAAGGGGAAGAGAGCTGACAGGAAGTTGAGAAAGCAGCTGAAAATCTCCTGACAAGAACTGAACCTCCACCTCCTGATCTCCTGTTTCCAACACCCTAGGCACAGAGGGAATCTGTTCCCAAGGGATATCAAATTGAGGTCTTGAAAGTTAATAGTTATGAAAGAATCAACACTATTCAAACACAAGTGCAGTCAGAGTTTCTGCCTCCATCATTCTGCCATATTAAGATGGAAATATTATTGGTATCAGAACTTAAATTGTTTATGTATGATAAATGTGCACAATTAAACAATTTCCAGACCTCTCACAGAAATGGTTGAATATAATCCTGGGCAGGGAGAGCCTTGCTGCAGATTTAAGGTTTTACTGCTGCAAAGGAAGCTGGAGTAAAACCCTGCCACTTCTGAAGCCCAAGTCAAAACATCCCACTATGGCAGAAGTGGATTTTGGATATGGGATTTTGGCCAAGGTCCTCATGGCCACGAGGACTCCTCCACACCCAACCGGTGCTTCTGCAGGTGGAGCACTCAGAGATGGTTGTGCATGTACATATGCCCATGTAAGTGTGACAGAATGCAGGCAGATGCATATAAACCCACACAGCAAGGATGGGATGAGAGTTCAAGCTGGCAAGATGGGGTTGTTCTATTTTCTGTGTGCTGAATGACGTGCAGCAAGTCGTAAAGTCACTGCACCAGCCATTACAGACTTTCCCCCCCATTCTTTTGTCTGCTTTTTGCTTGTTTTAATGCCCCCTCCAGCCTATGCACAATGCAGATATGTATCTCTGCTTAGTCATGCATTTCTGTGTTGAACAGAATTAAAGGAAAAAATATCTATGTAGGATAAGGGTAGGAATAAAATGTGCTTTGGCAAAGTGCTTCAAACTGCCTTTCTGCCAGTAAGCCATTAATTTGTGCTTCTTTGTTTTCTCCAAGCTCAGAATAATTCCCATCTGCCTTGACTCACTATCTAGCTCAGAAAGGAAGAGGTCCTTTTTTGAGAATGGATGAAACAGGAAACTTTATGTATAAATGAAGAATGGAGCTTGGAATTCTGGTGTTTCTACCACTGGGACCTAAAATAACTTGAGGTCCTGCACTTTTAATTAATTTTATTCTGATGAGCCTGCCTCTCCTGTTCTTGTATTTTTTCCAAGCTTTTGTGTTCCTGGCCTGCCTGCAATACATATGTATTCCCCTTCTTTCTTCCTGCTGAAGCTGAAGACGCAATCACATCTTCGAACCATCTGGTTTTTAATTTATTACTCTCCCCCATTGCATTGATGGGCTCTCATTTTTCTGTCAGGGTAACAACTTGGCTCCTGTTTATCTAAGATATGTTAACATGCTGTTCCTCTTCTGGGCACTCGCTTGGTCTATTGTATTTCCTGAAATTAAACACCAGGGAGTTTTTAATATTATTTTCTTCATCAGACCAGGGAATACCCCCTACCTTTACAGCTTCTCTTCCTGTTTTTGTTGTTCCAGTGAACATTTTATGACTCTTGCTAATTTTAGGCTAATATTTTGTTTTTCTGGCCTCTCCACATCATTCCCAAGGTGATTCACTGGAGCCTGCCTGGACACATTCCTGGGTGAGGAACCTGCTCACATGAGGTACCCAGGATTCCCCAAAGGAGGCTCAGGAATCCCTGCAGAGCTCCTGGTGTGTCCCCACAAGATGTGGGAAAATCCTCCCAAGTGTTGGCTCAGTCTCACACAAAATGAGCATCTTGGAGCCGTGGGGCCACAGCTCTGTCCCTGCCAGGTGTGCCAGGGAGCATCCCAAGGATGGCCAAATCCTAGGTAATCACAGGATGGAGAATAATGTGGATTTATATTTGTTACTTTACTTTCCTATAGTACCTCCCAAGAGCCTTCTGAGGCATTCCACTCTTTAATAAGCTGAAAGTGCTCCAAGATTTTTCTAATGAAAATGATATAGGAGCACACAGTGTTATTATTAAAACCTCTCTCTTTTTCTCTAGGAACTGCTAAAATACATTTACAGTTTATATCCTTTTTGGTGAGCATTAAAGTTTCTAATTTAAAATAATAAAGCCTGGTTTGCTCACTTTCTTTCCCTTCTATTTCAAAAATATAAAAACCTGACAGTTTTCTAACTATTCTTATTTTGCTGAGTGATTTTTGGATTTCAATAAAAGTAACACTGTGGTTACAACACTTTGTGAGATAAGCAAAGAGATTTTTTTTTTACAGCACAATTATGGAAATTTCAAAGAATCTTAAAAATATCCTGCTATTTGCATATATGAGATAAGCGTATTTTAGTAATGGTTATGACAGGCTAGCAAGGAAAATGTGTGGGACAGCCATACAGCAAATACATGCAAACATGAGGGGGTGTCTGTGCACTGTTCCAGTGGAACCCGTGCACTATTTCTTTGTGCCAGAGGCAGTTTGGTGAGCCCAGATGGTGAGAGAGGAGTTAATTCTCCAGCTCTGGGTTTTGTGTGCCCGTAGCAGGGTACAGGAGCTCTTTGCAGGAGCTCTGCAGGGATTCCTGAGCCTCCTTTGGGGAATCCTGGGCACCTCACGTGAGCGGGTTCCTCAGCAGCTTCCTCACCCAGGAACATGTCCAGGCAGGCTCAGTGAATTATCCTGGGAGTGATGTGGAGAGGCCAGAAAAACAAGATATTAACCTAAATTTATCAAGGTACAAACGCATGGAAGGTCTGCCAGGCCCTGGGGGACACCTGTGCTGCCACTGCCTCCCTCTGCCACAGCCCTCGGGGACAAGGAGCTTCTTCCAGGCAGGTCACCACTGCCAAAAGGCCATCACGGTCCCCAGTGTTCCTGAAAAACCAGCTGAGGCCAGCCTGCTCCTCAGCACGTACCCACATCTCCATGAAAACTCCCTGAGAACGGCGCCGGAGCCGCCTTCCGAACTGAACTCTGCTTTTCTTCTCTTGTTTGCCTTTGTATTTTTAAGTTGGAAATTGCTCTTCTGGTTATGCCTCAGAGCTGCTGGGAAGCTCCTAGAATTAGTGTGGCAATTTTCTCAGTTCTTTGTTGAAAAGGGAGAGTCCACACAAAAAAATGCACTGGCATTCCAGCTGCATAAATAGTGTAAATTGCTGTCAAGCAAAAAGGCAATTTAGCTAAAAGAAACCCCAAACAAACAACCCCCTCCACACACACTTCTGTGTCCCCGTTAGAGCTGCAGGTTTCCATTCTGTATATCTCCCAGCCATCTGCTTGGCCCTTGAAAGAGTCCTTGAGAAACCGAAAAATGAAAAGCACTTACTTTCTGAAAACTAATCTTGGCTTCCCGGTGCCTGGCTTTCAGGGGACTTCCACTCAAGGCTTGATTTCTGTAAGTGCAGATACTCAGTATGTCCTGAACAATTAGATGCCTTTGAGGATGTTGAAAGCTAGACATAAAAAAACCCAAATCAATCTGGAGTCTTGTTTGACAACTGACACTATTTCTAATGCAAAAATAGAAAAAAAATTAAAAAAAAATAAAAAATAAAGAAAAATAAATCCAACCACCAAATAAAATAGTGATAAAAAGCCCCAGAAAGCTCAAAACTCAAAAGAAAATCTACCAAATGGACCCTTGACTCTAGGTTTTAAAGCATACATTTTTTCTATCAACTTTTCTTTAGCTTGCCTAGAAAAAAAAATACAGAGGTGTAGATCCATCTTTTTTCTTCCCTGCTGAGGAAGATGCCCTTTTCCAGAAGCCAAAGGCCCCTGGCTCGTGCAGCACAGCCGGGGACCCTCAGGAGGTTCACTGAGGGCTGCTAATGGATTTCTCCTGGACCCTGGTGCCTGCAAATCCTTCCTCCTCGCCAAAAATGTGGGAAGAGATGGGCTGACAGCATTACCCAGACCCCAGAGGTTCTGTGGGGCTCTCTGGGCAGGGAAGGAGTTATGGCATGAGGAGTCTGCAGGCAATTCTGTTATCATTTGTTCCCAAGCTCTCGCAGAAGCCTGTCCTGGCCACAGGAAGGATCACGAGCAGCCGCCGCCTCCCAAGCAGGGGATACTCACGGGAGAAACAGAAATAGAAATAAAAGAGCAAGGGAAGGGGCAGTTTTGCCTCGTCAACTAACGATCCTTGACTCTCCCACTTTGTGTTTTGGTAGCAAACAGAAGGAGGTCACAGATGACACTGCCAGGTGTGAGGGGTTTTTCCGAAAGCTGCCGGTGGGGTTTGTTGAACTGAGGCTCAGCACAGGCCGCGAGGGCCAGGCGGGCTGGGCCCGGGGTCAGGCCGGCCTGCTGCCCCGGTGTCACCCGTGCTGGGGCAGTGCCACACGGTCCCGGCGTGGAACACATTCCAGACCCGGCTCCCAGCTGCTTTCACCTCTGCCCTGTGGCCAGGCTTTGTGTGCAGCGTGGGCAGGGAGCTTTTCAGCTCATCAGCCAGGCCAGCCCAGAGCCCAGCGCTGAGAGCTTCCCGTCCGGCGGGAGCAGAGCTGCAATCCTCATTGTCCCTATTCTCCTGTTGTCCCACTGATTGTTTGGGCTCTGGAAGAGGCTTCCTTTTTGAAGTTATTTCTCTTTTCTTTATTATTTTTTTTAATCTTCCACCCCCCCCACCCTTTTCTTCTCATTTTCAAGCGGCACCAGGAGGGCGGAACAGAAGAGGCTGCTCAAAGACGTTTTCAGCTTGCTTTCTCTCCGGAGATCCTCGCTCGCGGCAGAAGAAACGAGTTCCTCTGACAGGAAAAAGCCCCTCCACCACCACAAGGCAGCTTTCCCTTTTCCCTGGATTGCAGCACCGGCTGGGGAGGGCAGAAGATGGAGAGACAAAGGAGGGCTGAGGGCGGATGTGGTGTGATCCAGAGGAATGCAGATGCGAGGAAGGGATTTAGCGTGATGGTGATGGCTGTGTGATGAGAGGTGACAGGAACAATAGTGCATGGCTGTGTCTACACCGCTTGTTAGAACACGCTGGCCTCTCAGGAAAGGGGGAGCACAATACTTTAAAATTAAAGTGGATGGGACTGCGAAATGGAAGAGAAAAGGAAATAAAACGTAAGGGCTTTCAAACTGTTGGCTGAGCCAGTGTTTTTCTTCCAGCCACAGCAAAGCACGACTGGCTCTGGGAGAGTGGGGCTGATGAACATTTAAGCCATCCCTGCACATGTCCAGCTGTGGGTGACCGGATAGCTCGGACGCTTTGGAGAGGAGAGAGCTCCAGCCCAGCCCACGCTGCTGCCCAGCACCTACTGCACTGAACAGCTGCTGAAATCGCCTGCCCACCCTCCTGCCCAGCTGGGGCTGAGCTCTGACAGAGGGTACAGCCCGTGGGGAGAGGCCCTGGGTGTCTCAGGGAGCATCCCTGGCAGCTCCAGTGTGAATGAAACACAGCCCACAGCACCCTGCATGCAGACTGACACAGCAGGCACAGCAAAAATACCCCAACACCACTCACTCATGTGCCCAGCTTCAGGAAAATTCATGTACAATACAGCTGGAAGAGCTGCTCTTACCCACCACAGCAGATCCATGTTTCTGTGCTGATCCAGCTCTGGTGATGGTTAACACCCACTCCTTTCTGTCACCTGGAAAGTAAAGACAACTTTTCTTATGGCTTAGTGTTTTTCTCCTTTCCAAAGCTTTGGCTGTGACTGATGAAGCTGCCTGACATTGTCAGAACTTACTTGAACTAATGAACAATGGAAATGCCTTTATTTGTGCTGGTGCCAGATCCATCCCACTCACAGCCCCAGGTGTGCTCTTTGCTGGGAGCCTGTGATATACTACCTGAACCCCTACTCACCATTCTTCATGTTGATTATTTACCATTTTCTGCCTTTTATCTATTCTATGAACATTTTGCCCTAATTGCTCAGCTATTTGTTGATTATCCTGCAGTCATTTGTCAGATCCTTTCATTCATTAATCTGTGAGACCCTTCAGTTGCTATTCATCTGATAAGGAAGCTTTTAACCACCAGCTCTCTCAGAGTCACGTCTTGCTTCATGTCAAGGTCTCAAAAGGAATAGAATCATGGCTGACCGTAGCTGTTTGTGGAGTCATTTAGATGGGAACACCACATCCTACTTTTTGACATTCACCTGTGCCAATTTCCTTAAAGCTTCCTTTAGAAGCTAAATTCTTCACATCCTGAGGTTTGTGGGCATTCTGCTCTGTGCACTTGCTGCTTTGTAACTAGATGGGCAAAAAACTTGTTCAGCAAAATGAAATCCTTCCTGCTCGTTTGCTCAGCCGGTGGGGATGCACACCTGACAATGCCTGTGGGATTGGTGCCACGTGGAGCGAGCGAGGTGAGCCCTGCCCCGCTGCCTCCCGCTCCTCTCTGCACGCACTGGAGCACATCTTGTGCCAGCCTTGCTCTGCACCAGCCCCAGCCACCTGTAAAGCACATTTCTGCTTTATGTGGATGCATTCTGACAGAGGCAATTAAAGCTGCACAGGCCAGTGCACATCAGGAGGCTGCAATATCTGACTCGTGTTCAGCACCCTGCACCACTGGAGCGCGGAGCTGCTGGAGCCTCGTGTCCTGTTCCAGCTCTCACTCTCCCAGCCACCCACATCAGGGGCTGTGCTGCCAGCCCACAGCTCGATAGGCACCATCCTGTGCTGTATTGAACACATTGTATTTCAAGGAAGCATGACTGGGGTGTTGTGCCGTTGGCCTCCCTCCAACAAGATAATCCAATTTTTCTGATTTCCAGACTAAATATACTCATTCTTTTTGACAAGGAGTTGTGGTGTCAATAAGATTTGAGATGCACAGACAATAGCCTGGAACACGGTATCTTTCTTTTTGTGCCAAACTGGCACTTTTTTCCCTGGCTGACAGAGGCAAACCATGCATGGGGAGGCTTCCTGGGTCCAGACAGCCCAGCACTGCAGCTCGGGCTGGGCTCCGTCAGCTTTCCTGAGCTGCCTGCTTTCCTGCACCCTGCTCCCATTGCCTGGTTTGCTCTAAAAGCTTAGCTGGAGGATGACTCACTCCAGTGAACATCAGAATAAAATCCTGCATACAATTAAATGTGCCGTACAGTGCTCTTAGCTAGGCAGAGCAGTGGGGCTGGGCAGCTTTGGAATTAATTCCACACTCTGTTTATCAGGAGCCTGGCCTTCCATACCTCGCTCCTAAATATTTTACCTCTTGTTGCACTAATTGAACCTTTTGTCTGTTGACTTTCAATCCTTCCTCCTGGATGGCAGCCAAATCTTCTGCTCTGCTGACACTCCTGCTCTCCAGAATCTACCCAGTTCAGGTGTGAGCCGCATCTGATGTCACACACTTCCTGGACCTGCAGGCTAATTTCTCCCACGTTTGGGTGATGTATATGTGACAGATCACAGGAGCTCGTGAAATCCTTGAGGAAATCAAGTGAAATAATATTTTTTTTCCCCTCCTGAACTGTAAACCCCAAACTTTTAGCAACATTTTTCTACTAAAGAGATAAAGAAAATTGTATTTGCTAGATCTATGGCCAAAACCCACTTAGCTCCTTGTACTACTGCAGCCGTAATTTCTGGCATTTTAACAAGGAGAGGTGATGTTTGCAGAGTTACAGCATTTAATGCTCTGAAATCTGCAGTCAGATGCATCTTTCTATTTCCCTTTAATGCCAGCCCCACAGGGGAATTACACACACTGGGTCATTGCACTGGCACTCCTTGATCCACCAGGCTTTCTGGGCTCGCTTGGCTACTTACAGCATTTCTGCAGTCTTGGATCAAGCCCTGCTATTAAAGCAAAGGCATTAATCTTCCCATACTCCAACTTATCTCAAGCTTATACTTGCAGAAAGGTAACTGACCCTCATCCCGAGCTCTTCTCACTATTTCAGGAGCCTTTACAGGAAAACATCATTTTCTAGGTAAGGTAATTATGAGTCTTTCTATTTCTGTATTATCCTTGCACAGTTAGTCAGATCTAAACTCACCTATTTTGTTTAAGACACAGGCTGTTGAGAAGCCCATTTTTTATCCTGAACATGATGCTGAATACAAAAAGCCTGAGGCACACTTTCCAGTAAGCATTTTGAATTGTGGGTGTGGGAGCTGAGACCCTCCTGCACCAGAGGAGACCCCTGTACTCTTGTGCCTGTTGGGGCACCTCCTGGGCACCCTCACTCCTGCAGAATACTGATTTCAGTCATCACTGAGGCACCAGAATTTAATAAAAGTTTGGGCTCCCAGTAGCTTGTTTTTCATTGCTGTTGTACAGTTCTGCCAATTTATGCATTAAGACACTAATGGATTTTATATTCCATCTAGCCAGATCTTCTCCCAGGCTCTAGTTCCCTCCAAACCCTATTTCATGTCTACTTCAAATGCCATTTCCAAGATTTATCCAGTCCAGACAGAATACCCTCTGCCGTGCTGCGGGCAGAGAGCCACAAACTGCAGGACAGTCAAGGGCCCTCTCCTCCTCCACAGGTTTTGGTTTGTCCTCTGGAGCCTCATCCATGAAAGCAATTATTGCTGGTACCAATTGCTTTGCCTAGGAACCTCTAAATTCCTTTTCTCTCCAGAGAATCCTCCCAGTCCTCCTGACACATCCTTCCACCCCTGCCCCAATTTATGTTAGCAGCATTCCCAGGTCCCACAGTCATGCCTAACATCCAGCAAATTCTGAATCCCAGGTCATTATCCCACAGCAACAGTGCAGCAGATACACCAGGAGCCATTTTCTAGCAATCTTAGTGGTTTTTTCTTTCTTTTTTTTTTTTTTTTTTCAGTTTAGGCTCAAAACCAGCCTTCACTGGTAACCAGTTCAGTTAACTGAGTCTCTCAGTGGTCTCTCTGTCCCACTGGCCCCTGTCTCCCTGAACTAACAGCTTTCTTTACCAAGGGGGATCCTCCTTGCCTGTGTCCTCACCATGCAGAGGAGCACAGGGCTCCAGGATGTGTTCTGGACCATCCCAAACATCTCCATCCCAGTCAGCAGGGTCACTTCTCCTCCTCCAGTTTTTACTGCAGTCAATATATCCAGTTTAGCTGACAGCTTCTGTTTATTTTTCTCACTTGCCTCCTCACTGGAGTCTCAGAATTCAAGTGTTCTTGCTCACTCTACGTGGCAATGATTTGATTTCTGCTCCTGCCCGCTCAGCCTCTCACAGCCTCGCTCTCCTGGACCTGACTGCTGGGTTACCACCAATCTGCCACAGGTGAAACACAGCCTGTGATGCTTTCAGACACCCCCTTCCCTGCCAGCAGAGCAGAATAAAAATGCCTTGGCTAATATCTCTTCTCCTAAAGGAAACAAGGAGCTGATAAGTGCTGGTGCTGCCCCTGCACCAGACCATTTTGGGGCATTTAAATGTGCATAAAGACACCCAAATGGCAAAATCAAGACCAAGCCTGCCTGTGGTCCTTTTCAGATCCCTGGATGGTAGGTGGCATCTTCTGGCTGCTGAGGAGGATTGTTCATGCTCTGTTGGGTTTCTCCTTATATTGCCTGGTTTCAAAGGCAAGCACTCCTGACCTGCCAGTCCAAGCCCTTTTTTCCCAGGGCTGCCTTTGCAATACAGTGATGTCACAATGTACAAATGTCCAGTGAAATGATCATTCTGTGAAACAGATCCCACCACTTCCCCAGCCTGCTCGCTCCAGATCTACCCAGTAACCGAGCTGGCAGGGGGCTGTGTGACTGAACACTCACAGAAGAGCTGCAGGGTCACCCCCTGTGCCATGACCCATCTCAGGATGATGTCCTCACCTTAACCCTTCCTTGCCCACACAAGCTCCTTCACAGCCCTGCTGCTGACCCTGCGGAGCACACGGAGAACAGATCTTCCTGCCCTTCCAGGATCACGCTGCCCAGCCCTGACTGTCAGCCAGGGGCTGCTGGCTGAAGGACGGTGCAGAGGAGCAGCTGCCCTTGAGGGTTTGCCCTCCCCTGGTGTCCCTTTGGCAGTTTGGGGTCCCTGATGGCACTGCTCCCTCCATGAACCTGCCCGGGGAGGCCGTGATCCCCCTTGCTACGCTGTGGCAGCGATGCCGCGTGCACAGTGAAGGACTCTGTGATTTGTGGTGCTATAAAAGCTGAAAACCTCCATCATTGCCTTTTATATATAATTGAAAACACAATAATTGACTGCAGTGTCAACTGAAGAAGGCGGCAGCCCCTTGGAAGCACACTCAGGCGTCCGCGCGCACGCCACCGCCAGCCAGCCGCTGCTGCGTGACTCGTCTTAATAGAAGGCTTAAAATAAATCAGAATTATTTCCAGATTAGAGGGGAAAAAATCCTGTGAAGATGTTTCAGTCAAGCACAAAAAACACAAAGCGAGCAGTCTCTTTGCCAGTCAGCACAGCATTTGCTTTCCTCTGGTCCTTTGCTCTCCTGATCTCCTCCTGCTCTCAGAAACAAACTGGCTTCATTTTTTTCTGTCTGAGGCAGGTGAACACACGAGATTGTAAAGCTGCTGCACCCACCCTGGTGTGTCTGTGAGCAAGATATGTGTCTCCCAGACTTTCCCTCTTAATTTTGTCTCAGCCAAACTCACCAAATCAACGTGGTTCCTTTCAGAGAACACTCAGTTACAGCCACAGTGCCCAGGAGAGTGAACTCTGCTCCACCTGCATCACCTGTCCAGATCCCAACCCTCCAGAGCCCTGGAGCCCATGTCACATGAGAGAGGTCACAGCAGGGCTCAGGAGCACCTGGAGTGCTGCTTGCACCTCTGCCAGCTCAGGGCTCCATCACTCGGAGCTGCTGCTGCACCAGAGCGCTGGGAGAAGGTTCTCTCCTCTCCAGAGGGGTGGGACTGGCAGGCAATTCCCTGATTTCAGCACTCAGGCACAGGGGGATCTTGCACGACTTCCTTGGTGCTGCTGCTGGAGGACAAAGCCCGCAGATCTGCTGTGGGGGAGCACAGGAGGAGATGGGAAAAGGGGAGGAAGGACGGAGGCTGAAAGAAAAGCAAAAACCCCTCCCAGAATGGCAGCAGCACCCTCCAATTCAGCTGTTTGCATTAGGAGAATATTGCAGTTTTGACTGCTCAAGTGTGTTGTTTTGTTTACCTCGGGGACTTTTAGGGCAAATTATAGAAACAAGTCAGTTTACTTCACTCTCATTTTTAGGCAGTTTCACTTTCAGCTTCTTCTGCACAAACAACATGCTACAATTTGGGGGCTGCAAAGGCTGCAGGGAAATATTGATTTCCTCACAATAACACTAAAACAGTTCGACCCAACATTTTCTGAAGGCTTTTACAAAACATACATTTTGAGGGACAAGTTTGGCTTGACAGACTTCTTTTAAAGAGAGCTGCCTTTCTTGCAGCCACCTTAGAACCCATATTTACTACTTTATATTACAAAAAGACAATTGTGGGTGCAAGAAATTTCTCAGGTAAACCCCTGTAAAGTTTCAGGTTATCTGGCTACGTGAAAACCTGCATTGTAACGCAAGAGAAATTCCAATTATTCAGCTAATTAAAAAAGACTTAATTATAATATGGAATAATTAATTTCTTTTGATACTTACAACTCAGACACTCCCATGTATACCTCAGGGGCCCAGAAGTTTTAGCGAATGCAACAATGGGAATTGCTTCTCAGAACAGCCAGCTTTCTCTGAGGCTTTTCTGAGCCTGCCACTGGTTCTGTATACGAGAGTAGGGACTGATGGCCAATATTATAGCTGGAGATCCCTGAGACAGCAGATCTCAAATGCAGAAGGTCAGATGCCACCTCAACTATCAAAAGCGTTCCAAAAAAAGACACCAAAGTTCCTCTAAGTGCGGCACTGCTCCCACACTCCTGCCCTGTGTGAAGTGCAGCTCGTCTCATCTCACCATCACAGCCCCCCGAGGAGTGCCACTGGACTAGGAACTGCAGTGTCTCTTCAAACCCTCTGCCCCACGGGTTCAGCACACACTTCCAGCCCCTCCTGCCCCAGAGCTGCTCCTCTGCCATCCCTGCAGCTCCAGCCTGAGTCCTCCAGAGCTGCAGGGCAGGTGACCACAGCTCAGCCCCGGAGAGGAGGGGCTCAGGTGGGCAAGGTCAGGAGATGCTGAGATGCAAAGGAGGCTGATGCCTCCACTCAGAGCCACCACAGTGACCTTTTCCTCATTTTGTGCCATTTGCCTCAACTTCAGAGCCCCCCCAGTTTAATTTCCTCCTCAGTTTAATTGGAGGAAACAGCTCTTAGCTTCTGTCCTCCCACCTGACTTAGTCCAGGGAGCTGGGTGGTGAGTGCTGGGCGGTGAGTGCTGTTCCAGCAGCTCCACTGAGGCAGGAAAGGAGTCCTTGAGGGATGTGGGCTCTGTTTGCACACTGCTCCCCATGTATGAGGGGGAGGCAGACCCTAGAGACAGCTGCCAAATACAGAATACACCCGTGGTACAGACCTGGAGGGTGAAGTGTGGGAAAAGGCAGTGCAGGGCCCCTGGGTCTGCCAGGACAACAGGTGCTTCTTGGGACACTTGAACTTTTCCAAAGTCAGCTGATAGCAAGGACTTGCTTTGGTGAAGGCCTGCAGATGATTGCTCTGTGAGATCAGTGTCACCTTACACTGTTCCAGCATTCAAAACATCTTCATCCAACGCACCTGATGTGCTCTCCCTTTCCAGGTCCAAACATCAGGGGAAAGCAGCCCCTGGGAAGTGTGGAGTGTCCAGGGAGAGCACACGCTGCAGATTCATGCTTTGCTGACTCTTTTCTGCCAGAAAGCATTGGAGACATTTCTGAGAGCTTTGGGGGCTCCAGAAAGCATTGGAAAGGAGAGATTTCTGAGAGCTTTGGGGGCTCCCAGGTGCAGCACCTTCGCCTGGGGCTCTGGGACACCCCAGCACCTCTGTCTCCAGATCTTTCCCCATCCCCTCATCCTCTCGGGCACTTCTGGAGATGAAGGCAGGCCAGTAACCCATCACCCAGCCAGGCACACTGATGGACACCCTGTGGAACAGACAGTTAATGCTACTCATACACAAGGATGTGTTTGCCCCATTTCTGCTCTTGGTGGAGCACTAAATCCCAGTGAAAGTTATTGTGCCATCTTATTTCTTGCTCAAGGCTCTAAATCTCCTCTCCACCCCTTCATGTGGCACAGATAAGAGCTGCATTTACATCCCTTTGGTCACACCCCGCTGCACAGGAAGGTAAAGTCACTTTGCACAGGTTTGTTAGCGATGCAAGACCCTTTCCCACAGTGGGAAACTTCTTTCTGCCATCTTTGATGGCAAAATAGGAAAAGGAAAATTCAATTATATTTCAGTCTCTAATAAAATTCACTTATCTTTCATCTTTTTCTATTTTTAAATTATACCTGCATTTGCTACTTTTACTGGATCTTCTCCCTCTTAATATTCAGTAAACTCTATGTGCATCCTCACTCATCTCCTCCTCTGTGAAGAATTAGAAAGAATTAATAAGCTGGGATATTTGAATAAAATCCTTTTTATTTCATGGCCTGATTTTACTTCCATAAACTCTGCATTTATAGCAACCTCATAAATTACCAACGTATACAGAAAATAAATACTCCTTGTCTCTCCCACTAAGCCTGCAGACTTAGCAAACAGATCTCTCAAAATCGCAGGGAAAGGAAAGGATATTTTCTTTTCAACTCATTCAACTGGAAATACAATTTTGAGAAAAGCAAAGCAGTGTTTCCTTTTCGCTGTTTCCATTTCATTTGGGCTGATAAATGCCTCTGGGACATAGCATTTCTGGTTTCACCTCTTCTCAGCTGTCTGTCTTTCTCTGTTTCCTTCTCTCTCCCTCTCCCCTGCTTTTCCAGCTGGCCTGAAAATGCAGAGGCACCTGGCAGCTGCAGAGTGGTGGCTGTGGCTGGGTTGTTGCTTTGTGACCTCCTGCTTTCCTCCAGCCCAGCACTGAACAGGCTGGAAGGGGCTGGGCTCCTCGCTGCTGACAAGAACCAAAGGATGTTCCAGGAGATGTCAAAGCCCCACGGTTCAGTGGGCACCAGATGTGAGTGACGGGACCCCACTGCAAATGGTCCCGTCCAATAAAAGCGTGTGACGACTTTGAGAGAGAAAGCCACTGTGAATTCATGTCCTTCTTTGTGCTTCTGCTGGCAGCAAGGCACTGAATTAGTGTGAAAATTGAGCAAAAATTAATCTTTGCCTCATAATCCATTATTTAAAAGGGAACACTCACTCACTATAATTTTCAAGTCACTGCTACAGCAAAGTCATTGTGAAATCTGTAAGTTTGCCATAGGGGAAAAATAGCAACATAAGACTAGGTCTTGAGATTTGCCAGAGCGCCAGACTCCTAATCTGCTTACTGCATTCACCATTTGCAACTTTGCATTGTAGTTAGAGCCTCCCCAAGGTCACCCCAAACATCTCAGGGCTCTTAACCATCTGTCTCTGATTCCTAGAAATGGAGATGGAAGGACTGAGGGGCTCGTTAGGGTCACTCATTTTGCACTGATCAGGAGCCCCTGGCTGAGCAGAGCCCTGGGCAGCAGAGCAGAGCCCCTCGGTCACCTCAGCTAAGGCCACCCCTCACCTGTGTCCCCGTGTGCCTGGCTGCACTCACCTGGCAGTGAGGACAGGCTGTGAGCCCCAGCTCCCCCCGCTAGCCCCAAGGGCCTGCAGGCAGTGAGGGCTCAGCACAGGAGTGGCCAGCGGGTCAGGGGCTGGGCTGGGGGCTCCCTGCAGCCCCCCTGCACAGCCAGAGCCAGCAGAGCCAGGAGGGGAAACTGCAGGGCTCTGCTCCACCTGCCACACCTGGGAGTTTGGAGAGTGTGAAGGCCAGAGCATGGATCCAACAGGCTACAGGAGCCAGCTCCAGGTGCTTGGGAAGGCCTGAAGGAGAGCACCGAGCCCCTCTGCATCTCCTGCT